ATGGGGTCTTCTTCTCTCTCCCAGAAGACCCATATTTGAGCCAAGGCAGCTGTTCTCCTCATCTTCTGATGCTTTACACTCAAGACTCTGCTCTTAGCTGTGTGTTTTTGAACTTGCTGCTGGCCTCGTCTGTCCCCAGTCACTACTGTTCAGGGCACTCATTCCCCTCCAGCTGCTCTGAGGGTGTCCTGGAGGCAGAATTCCTCAAAGCTGCCTTTTCAGTGCTCTCCAGGCCCCGTAGCACACGTAAGCACAGCTGTAACCCACACCCAGGGAAAATCCAGGAGAGCACTGGCCCTGTCCTGGGCCTCCTGGGTCCTCCACGTGCAGGGCAGGCACCCGAAGCTCTGCCACCTGCCATGCGATAGTCAGCGGTGGACTAGGAGGTCACTTCCTCCCAGGAGGCCATCAGCCACTTTAAAGAGAAGTGCCAAAGCTGGCACCATCAGTAGGCTGGCAGAGCCCAAGAGAGGGGGGCCTGTCCCTCCAGGTGTCTAGAGGTGGACACAGGCTCCAGGCCTTTTCTCTGGCTACACAAAGGAGCCAGAACAGAGCCCAGGAGGTGATTCAGCTCCAGCCTGACCAGGCCCACTGAAGCTCTTATTACCAGGCCAGCTGCCTCCTAGAGAAAACCACACCCCCACCCAGCCCCACCAGGCCCAAGGGTGGAGGAAGTGGGGTTCCCAGAAACAGCTGTGATGAGCACTTTGCTGAGACAGATGGCCTGACCTGGGGCCCTCAGACCTTGCTTCTCAAACCCAAACTATGTTCTCACGCTACAGCAACCCTGAGACAGGAAGAATAGACTTGATGCTGCTCATTTTACAGATGAGAAAATGTGACCCTTTGGTCTAGGTCACTCAGCTGGAAAATAGACGTAAGTCATTGAGTGGTGGCACACACCTACCTGTAGTTGCAAATATATGGAAAGCAAAGGCAGGAGGATTGCTTAAGTCTAGCCTGGACAACATAACAAGACCCAGTCTCAAAAAAAGAAAAAAAAAGTAGAAACAATTAGAAAGCTGGCCCCACAGTCTGCTCTGCAAGCTGGACAGTGCTAGGCCATATCACACTGAATGAGCAAGGCAACAAGTACTGCCCACTGGCCAGGTCCTGTGCCAAACCCAGGCAGCCACTTCTCTGTTCTAAACCAAAACACTTGCTGTTGAGAGAGGAAATGGATGCGGAGACTACCACGCCTGATTCTGTTTACAGTCAGAGAAGATATTGCCCTAAGGAAAGACAAGGCCAAAAGCCAACAATGCTGGAGTTCGCCTAGGTCTCTGGTCTCCCTGGGGAACCAATGGCTGGCCAAGCATGGGAACTGCTGGAGACCACCAACCTCTCTCCCTCCATTCACAGGCAAGAACCAGGGAGCTATACTATACTATATGCCTAGGAACAGAGTTAAACATATAGCAAAAGAACCTGCGGTCTTCCTGCCTCCACCAGTGTCTCCCGGCCCTGCTGGATATTACCAGGGATCAAGCAGCTGACAGATACTGTATTCAAAAGCAAGACCCACAGGGTCACTGCCTCTTTACTATCCTGCCATAATGGTTTGAGGAGAGATATGCAGTCGGCAGGTTTCTCCTCCCTTCCACTGCAGGCCCACACTCAGTCTTGTTTCCAGGGGAGTCACCCCAGTCACCTCAGATATCACCAAGACATGCAAGCTCAGTTTGAGTCCACGGAGGAAATGGGGAACGCGTGGCCATGAGGAGTGCCCTACCAGCTCCTGCTTCTATGGCAAGTGACTGCGCTACTAGCCACAGGTAGGGACAGGGAATACAAGATGTCCAGCATCAGAAGCCTGGGTAGCAAGTGCAGAAAGAGCCTGCTTGCTTCCCCATGGGCACTAACATTGTTCTTTAATGGCCGCAAAGACCCAGCAGCAAGAAACAGGGGTCAGCACCCCCATTCACAGTATCTGGCACCAGGCTTGGAGCTAAACATGTGCAAGGTGAGAAGTCTTTACCTAGAACTCATCACTAGTTATTGGGGCTTACAAATGACTAAATAAATTAGCAAAACAAGACCTAGACTGTAAGCCTAGGACCAGAGGCCAGAGGAACAAACTGCCTCTGTAAAAAACCCGCTCACTAGCCCCAAATGCATTCTGTCTTCCAATGTGCCACCTCATCCCTCTCTAACCTCGTGTTTCTCTGATTAAGCCATGCTCAGTTTTCCTGACAATACAGAAACACAGAATGGCACTAGGACCAGAACTTGGGAAGAAGCCACAGAGGGGAACATAGCAGCAGCAAGTGTCAGGCACTGGTGTGATTCACCAAATGCATCCGATCCCCCTCACCTCACAGAGAAGTGTAGCCATGTGACTTGTTTCAACCAATAAAATACTACTTCTAGGCAGAAGCTCTAATCCAGGTAAGACTCATCCTGCTCTCTGTCCCTCTGTCCAAGTGGCCAGGAATGTTCTAGTGAGTCAGTGTGGGTCCTACAGTAGGAAAGCAGATATGCAATGGGATATGTGGAGTGAACCAGCAATACACCTTGGTTGCTTTAAGCCTCTGAGCCAATGTTCATATCCAACCCCTCCTCCTATTACCCACTTTAGATGACAGGAGTTGTGTCACCAGTAAAGCAGAAGGGGTCAGGGGCACCACTGTCAGCAGAGCACCTGTGCTATAAGGCCTCACTCAGTAGCTCTGCTGTGGACCAGGCTGTTCAGTATACTAATCAATTTTAATCATCTCCAGAGGAAAGCATCGCCCAAATTAGAAAGGAGGAAATCCACCTCATATTGAGACCTCAAAAGTCACTCTGTGACCTTTCTGGGCCCCACGTTTCCTCATCTGTAAAATGGAGTGATTATCATCTACCACACTGTTGCTGCAAGGATTTGACAAGCTAAGTACAAGTAAAGCTAGGGTAGAGCTTGTTGTCTCAGTAAACACTAAACTCACCATTACTGTGCTCGCCAGCTTTCTATATAACTGCTGCAAGCTTGTCCATGCCTCTACTGGATTTTAAGAGGGTCAACCGCTGAGCACACGCGGCCTAGAGTGAGGCCTCAGGAAGAACTCTGAAACTCAGCGCTCCAGACACATAGGCCTCCTAGGTAAGTTGCTGCCCCAACTTGCAGGGCAAATCCTGCTTCTCCCACACAAGGCCTGAGCTTGCCCACCTCTTCCCAAACTTGCCAAGGGAGGAGCCCTCACCAGCATAGCTGCCCTGCCAGGAAGCGGGGATCTTCCGACCCTCCCTGGCCTTCTTCCTGGCGGCAGCCACAAACCTTCAGAAGCATGGAGAGCTGCTTCTAAACTGAGATCAAGCTCAGGTCAGGAAATCCTACAGGCCCAGCTGGATGGATCCTAAGAGCATGCAGAGTTTACAGTTGCTCAGGGAGTTCTGCAGAAACACCCACCCCACATACTCTCAACCCTGAAGGTCAGATTAGGTGGCCCAAGCAGCAAGGCACAAAAGTGTAGGGCTATATACAGCAGCAGTCTCCAGCTAGGGCGCGCACTCAAGGCCCGATCCCCAGATATCAGAAATCTTCACAATGTCACACAAAGCTCGGGGGAGATGCCAGAAGGGCGTGTGGGACAGCGGAGGAGTCTGTGCTTCATTCTGAGGCTGCCAGGGCTCAGGAGTTTCACTCCACCAACCACTGGGCTGGGTGAACACGGGGCCCCATGCTTACTTTCACAACCAGGACAGGATGGCCCAAGCGCCCAGCGGGTACAACTTCCCTGTGTTCCAGCCGGGCGCGGGCTCCTAGCGAGGTCTCAGCAGGTAGCTGACCACTCCCACCCACGCCCAAAGGCACAGCCCGGAGCGCAGACCCCTGCCGTGGGCGCAGCTGCCTGGATTTCAACCCGTCCTCGTTCTCCGCCCGGCTCCGGAAGCGCGCAGCCCGCAACACCGGTAGACACTGCTCAGAGGGCCGGCTTCGGTCCGGGCCGGCTTCGGTCCGGGCGGTCTGGGCGTCGAAGTCACGAGCGCGAGCACACACACACGCACACACACGTTTCCTAATCTCTGCACCCAGCGGGTAACCTCTCGGGGACGGGGCTGAAAGGAGCAACAAGAGCAGACCCGACTCCCCGGCCCCAAACGCCACGGGACCAAGGCTCGGGCAGGTCAGGGTCACAGGACAGGGGCCGCCGCCTCCTCGACCTCGCGCGGCCCCAAGCCCGAGCCGAAGAGTGGGGCGCACCCAGGCGGGGTGCGGCTGGGGGCCTCCCGGGCC